CATTCATTCCATATGCGCGTTTTTCAGATTTTCTCCTGCTCTTCCGGTGAGGACTCTCTCTGAGCCGCGGCAAAGATGGCCTCATTGCGGCCAGTCACCGCTGCGCGAAGCAGGACGTCCTCGCCGGCTGGAAAGGGGTGCTCCTGCCATGCCTGGCCTCCCCCAGCCCACTTAGACCCCGAGGGCTCGGTGCCCCGTGGGCACTGGTGCGCAGCTGTCGGCAGCGCTTGCCCAGAACGTTTTGGCAAGAGCAGCAGGGGAATTTTGCTTGTTGGAGGGGGCACCCTGTGGAGGTTGTGTTGTCCGGGTAAGCCACCACGTGCAAAAGAGCCAAGGCCTTGCCGAGGGGTTTAAAGCTGGGCCCGAGCCACCCGGCTCTGGGGGATGTGCTCACCACAGCAGCACCTCTCCCGTCCGCTCGGTTCCTGGAGTTCCATTGAGGCACCGCATGTGAAAGCACGGCGGCCAAGAGCTAAGCCCAGATTAAACCAGACAATTCTCACCAGAGGGATTCAGGCACCCCCCTCTCCTTTCCGCTGCAGTGGAGAGCTCCTTGGGGGTGGCGGGGCAGTGAAGTCACAGAGAGACGTGGGAGAACACGCCAGGGGCGGTGCCCGGCCCACAGGCTGCCCGCACGTGCTCTGCAGCTGCCTCTTTCGCCAGAAAGCACAGCCACAAAGAACGGCGGGCCATCATGGGACCACCTCTGGCCAGAGGCTCATGCACCCCGCTCCCGCAAGAGGCCAAAAGCCAGGCTACCCACCACGGGATGGAGCATCGAGTGCCAAACTTCTCGCCAGCCAGCTGCTCCACTCTGCGGATCCTCTCCGCCTGAATCTGGTATAGGGTCTTGCGGCTTGGCAGCCCCACGTCATACATCCCCTTGGGGTACGGCACGCCTAGGCGTGTCCCTTGCCCCCCAGCCAGGAGGAGCACCGCCACCTTGTTCTGGGAGATCTGCCGCAGACCTGGAAGAGGGCAGAGGGAGGTCACACTGAGGCCAAAACAACATCACGCCGAGGCAGGTCAGGCGACGTTGAGAACGAAGCCTGGTCTTCAGAAGTCGCTCTGAACGTGACCAGGAGCCCTCCCTTTCTTTTCCAGGGCTCGTCAGCTACGGGCCAGTCTGGCTGTTTTCGGTGTCCACTGAGTAGATTTCATTATGTTTCTCCCGAATGGCCAAGGACAGTTTTGCTGGCACAAACGAGGGAGCGGCTATAAGGCCTTTTTCTGTCTGAACCCACACAGGGTCGTGCCCTTAACTTCATTTCTTTGGGTTGCTCAAGTTTATCTTGCATCAAGAACCTGGAAACGAAGAGCCTTGCTTCTGGGCATGTGCAGAACAGTACATCCAGTACATCCCCTTCCTCGCATCGTTCTGTGCCTGTCCCCAGAAAAGGTGCGTAGGCAACGAAGGACCAAGCAATACTATTACGTGTGAGTGAGGAAACACAGGGCTCCTAGAACAGCGCCAACGGTGTTCGCCATCAGCTCGGTCGTCCTTTTCTCCCCTCCCCTCCTCCTCAAACCGCTGCGGTTGCACAACTCAAGGAGCAGCGGCAAGGAGAACGCGAGCAGCCAAAGTCCGTTCCCGTGGAGCAGGGGACGGTGCCACAGCCAGCGCTGGAGCGTGGGGCGACCTGGGCCCCGGGGCAGAAATGCCACTGCGTCCTTCTGGTCAGGAAGACAGCACAGACGAGCTCAAAATGCAACCGAGGGCACATGGAGTGGGCCACAGAAGGAGCTTCGGCGAGGGAGGAGTCAGTTCGGCTGCCCAATGGAGGGCCCCGCAAAACATGGCTGACTCCAGGCTCTGCAGTAGCCCTCCCTAACCTTAGGCCTTCCAGGTCTATTGGGCTACAGCTTCCAGAATCGACCAGCCGACTGCGAGAGCCGTAGCCGGACACAACGGCAGGAAGCGACTGGGGAAGGCTGCCCAGAGGTAGCAAGCCGCATCCCTGCCCGGGCAGCTCCCAAACGCGCCCACGGCCCACCCCTGCTCCTTCCTGGTGTTCGCCCGGAGCACAGGCGATTCTGTGGCGGTCCGCCTCTGTCCAGGGAGGCTTGGTGGCTCAAAGGTGAGCCGGTTGCCACACGCCTCCCGCCACTTGCGAGGGGGGCAGCCGGATGCAGGCTCTAGGCTGGGGGCGGTCCCAGCCCCCCTCCAAGATGAAGGAGCCATCCTACTTGTGCTTAGGCAGAAAAGGGGCCCCACAGCTTTTCGCTGGCTGGGACTCGTCCAGCTTCTTCTCTACCCAAGCGTGGCCTTTGCGGCCATGCCAAGGGCTTTCCATGGGGGGGCGCAAATGGAGAGGGAAGAATTCACTGCGCCCCCCCCCCCCATCTTCTGCTTAGAGGAAAAACAACTTTTCCTCTGGTCTTGGGGGCTGGGCTGGCTGCCAATCGACCGCGTCTTCCGTGTGAGGACGGGTCCCCCCGCGACATCGTCCCAATTCCTGCTAAATTTGCATTCGGAGAGCCACAGACGCGCGCGCGGGGCCGGCTTCGTTGCCCCCGGGCCCGGGCCCCGCACCCTCCCGGGGGGACTTGCGCCCACCTTCCTCCTCCCATCGCTGCAGAGCCGCCCGCTCGCTCGCGCTGGCGCTGCCGAGGCACTCGGCGGGGACGGGCTCCAGGCGGCCGCGCGGCCTCCCCGCGCCGGGCCCGCGCGCGTAAGCCTCCGCCGCCCGCCGGCAGTGCGCGCCCAGCTCGCCCAGCAGCGGCGCC